CAACTTCTTCCAGTGTATGAGACATCATTTATAAGTTATTGTGCTGGTGAGAACACAGTGACATACAAGACCAAGGTTGAAAAGTGCAAAATTGCACCAAGGAAGTACTTTGTCCATAGAAATTCAGATTGTGACAGCCAGATATACTGGCTCAGTGTCCACCACCTGGATGAGTACCCCATTTTTTTTCCCCTCAAGGAGCAAATAACCGTGTTGATCATCTACAGTCTGTCAGGCACCGGCCAGGGGCATTTGACATACCTCACATTAACACTGCATCTTCTGTGAGTTTAGTTTCTAACGTTACCTTGTAGAGCCAAATATCAAAATTATTCCTGGAAATCTCTTACAATAACATCACCATGGAGATGGAAACTCCATCGCTTAATAAATCCAGAACCAACGCTCTTTTTTTTTTTCCATCAGCTTTGGGGCAGGATGTTCTTTCTTGCTTTAATTCATAGATTGAATAGTTAGCTTGCACCAAAACAGAAATGCTTATCTTAAAGCACTATAAAAATAACTCAAGATGGTAAGATGCTTACACCACAAGAGATGGATAGGACCTGAGACCAACTGAAGGAAGTGTGGATTCACACCCCTCAGCTAACGCTCACTCACACTGTCACATGAGTTCTTTGAATACATAAGTAGGTGGAATCTCCTACATTTTTTTGCAAGTGCCTTTTCTCTTTCTTTTCCGTCCCACTTTTGAGACCCAAGAGTGCAAATTTGAATTTGTATTATCACTAAGTGAATGTGTATATCTTGTTACTCTACTGTATCCATAAGATGTGCAACAATCCTGCAAGGTAGGGTAATTATTCTCATTTAAAAGATAAAACATTGAGGGGAGCCTAGGTGGTTCAGTCAGTTAAGCATCTTCATTTTGACTCAGGTCATGATCTCACGGTTCTTATGATCAAGTCCCATGTTGGGTTCTTGGGAGGGGAGGCTGCTTGGGATTCTCTCTCTCCCTGTCTCTCTGCCCCTCCTTACTTGCTCATACAAGCACATGCACTCTCTCTCTCTCTCTCTCTCTCTCTCTCTCAAACTTAATAAAAAAAAAAGATAAAACACTGAGGCTAGGAGAGGTTAAATGACACACTGCGAATCTTGCAGCTGGAAGAGCTGAGTTTGAAGGAACATTGCTCCGAAGGCACTATGTTCTCACCAATGCGGTGCGCAGAAACTTTGGAGCTAGTGCTGTGCTACTGTGTTATTTACAGAAGCTCCAACAGGCCCCTTCTTCTTCAGACATCCTGACATCCTGTCCTTAAAGTCTACTTATGGACTAGACATACTGCTCAGGAATCTATCTGACCTATGGAGTGATAAATTTTTCAACTAGATGCAGGGTCTTAAAACAAAAGAAAGAATGAAAAGCTGAATCTCAGATAATTCAGGCCCAAATAATTATGAATTTGAAATAAAGCATTAATATAAAAACCATAGGTCTAAAGATTCTGTCTGCTATTGGTTCTCACGGTTATCAGCTATTATGTTGAGCCAAATGATATGCCATTTTTGCCATTTTTATGAATGAAAATGTTGATTATAAGCAGTTTCATGTGGATCAGTGTAAATTTATCAGCATGACTTTCATAGCAGAAAAAGGCCTTCAAATGACGTAAAGTATTTTCTGGTCACCTTAGGAAACACAGTCTTCTGGTGACTATCATATCAACCTGACTTGCTTGTGTTTTGTGTGTTTTGTTTTGTTTTTGTTTTGTTTTCTCTCTCTCTTCAAAGCAATTATCAGAATCTGGACTTGTTTTGTCTTTTTTTTTTCTTCTTTCTTTGCGTATCCTCTGTTTCCTTTTCCACAGTAGAGTTTACTCTCATCACCTAGAAAAGTGCCTGGAACATAGGAAGCACTCAATAAACATTTGTTGAATAAAATAAACTTGATGGGTTGAAACATCTGCCTAAAATGTTGAATTATTAAGTATATTTTCTATTTGGAGTGTTGCTATAAAACATACATTTCCAATTCCCCAATGTGCCTTTGAAAAAGATAAATTAATTCATTTTGTTAGTGATATTGCATTGCCTGTGGCCTGACTTGTCAGTGTGGCTACAATAGACTAATGATTGGGTAACAAGAGTTTATTTATCATAGAACCAATTTTTGCTACTGAACTGAAGTATAAATAATGGTATATCAGGATTTACATTATAAATACTGTTCTAGGGTTTGTTAGTTGGTCATAAAAATTCTCCCTAGGCTGAAACAGCTAGTGTATATACCACATATAATATATCAAAATAAGAGTGAAATGCTCCCTTTGTTAGGCAAAGAACAAACATTGCATACAAATTATTTTTGTACAGGGAGAGTGAAGCTATTGAAGAACCCCAGTTTCTTGATGACACTCAGGATCTTGGAAAAATGATTAAAATAGGAGGAGATGAAGTGTATACCACACAGAAGAAATGGAGTGCTACTAGAATGTTCATTCAGAAGAGAAAATTAGATTTTTTTTTAATAACATCAAGAGGCAAGAAGGTTTCATAACTGTGGCCAAAAACTGGGGGTACCAAAAAGAGTTGCCAAGAACTACATGTCAGGCTGCTGGTGGTATTCCATCGTGCCAGCACTCTTGACGTTGAAGTACAATCTGACCTCCTACAAGCATAAGAGATTGAGTTTTACAAACCTCCTGTATAAGTCATTACTTTTGGGGAAAATACAATTTGGCTACAAAATTCTCTCTCACGTCTAAAAAACTTATTCTGTAAAGCATAGTATTTTGGTCAATTGAGAATATTCAAAAATCCTTCCTCTCCTACATCCTCAGACCATGGAGGTGCCAAAATCAAGTGACTTCTCCAATGGGACTTCCCTGGCTAAATATGTCACCACTATAGGGCGCCTGGGGGCTCAGTTGGCTAGGCATCCAACTTCGGCTCAGGTCATGATCTCATGGTTCACAAGTTGGAGACCTGCCTTCAGCTCTGTGCTGACAGCTCAAAGTCTGGAGCCTGCTTCAGATTCTATATGTGTCCCTCTTTCTCTGCCCCTTCCCTGCTCACACTCGTTCTCTCTCTCTCTTTCTCAAAAATAAATAAACATAAAAAAAGAAAGTTGTCACCATTACAGAACAACTTAATGGAAGTCTACCCCGGAGCTTCTGGTTTTCTGGTAGCTAGGATAGGCAGATTTTGCAACAGCCACCCACAGGAAATAATGGTGACTGCCTTGGAACCAATAAGCATTAAAAGTCATTGTTCTGATGACTTACCTAAAATTTTTTAAACATTAAGAATTGTTGTTCTAATGACTTACCTAAAATGTTTAAAATTTCCTCTGACGAGAGAAGCTCTTCAGAGATGTTATACATATAATTTTATCTGCCTAGATTGTTCTTCCCTTGATCGCGGCCTACCTATCCTTTCAGGGTTCTGGTTGTATCTTATTTCCTCAGACAAATCTTCCCCACCAGCCCCTCAGCCCTTATCTTAACAGCCATAGCTACACACAGAGGCACACACACTCGGGCCTTCCTAGTACACATCCTCATAGCCCCTTCTACATTTCCCCCATAGCACCTTGATATGTGTGTGACCATTAGCTCTGTAAGGGCAGGCACATCTTTTCCGCTTTCTGCTGCATCCCCAGAATCTGGCAGACTACCTGGCACATAGTGGTTACTTAATAAATATTGCCGAATGCTTGACGCTTTGAAGTTGTTTTTCTTCGGTTCCTCTGTGTTTTCCTTTGAACTAGAGTTTATAATAGATACAGACGGTGCATTCCTTTGTGGGACTGCCCTGTTTTGTTTCCAGCCTCAACTCCACACTCCTGCCAAACCAACCATTTGTCATCTCTCGTCGATCGCTCCACAGCTGCCAAGTGCAGCGGCTTCTCTGGGGTTGGCTCTCCGCTAACATTCACGGCTGAGGCAAGTTTCTTTGGCGCCCAAGTTTTAGTTCTAGTCAATGAACATTTATTGAGCATCTGAAATTTGCCAGACACTGTATGAGGGCCTTAGATTTAAAAATGAAGAAGATCGTGGGGCGCCTGGGTGGCTCCGTCGGTTAAGCGGGGGACTCTTGATCTCGGTTGGGGTCATGATCTCGAAGTTTCTGAGTTTGAGCCCCGCATGGGGCTCAGCACTGATGCTGCGGAGCCTGCTTGGGATTCTGTCTCTCTTTTTCTCTGACCCTCCCCTGCTTGTTCTCCCTCTCTCTCAAAATAAATAAAATTAAAAAAAAAATTGTAGAAAATCATTTTTACCTTTGACAATCTTTGAGTCAAGGGTGAGGAGAGAAACATGTTGATAGATCAATGCAGTGAAAGGTGCTAAATGTCACAGTTGGGGTCCTATAGGATTTAGCCTAAACGGAGGGAAAGGAGGTTTTCTCATTGCTGGGACTTGCTAACACTTACGGGTCCCTGGTACATGTATATTCAGCGACTCTCTCACGAGAAGCAAGTGGTCTGTAGGTTGAATCATGAGAATATCAGATGCTGATAAAAATCCTTTTTTTTTTTTAATTAAAAAATTTTTAAATTTATTTTCAGAGAGTCAGAGACAACATGAGTGAGGGAGGGGCAGAGAGAGAGAGAGGGAGAGAAAGACAGAGGGAGGGTGAAAGTCCCAAGCAGGCTCCCCACTGCCAGCACAGAGACCCATGTGGGACTTGAACTCACAAACTGTGAGAACATGAGCTGAGCCGAAAAGAAGAGTCAGATGCTTAACTGACCGAGGCACCCAGGTGCCCCGCTGATACAAATTCTTAAACACCCACATAAAGATTTTGTCTGGGACAGGAACTTCATACATCTCACTCTTGGTGTGGGTTTCTTTTTAAATGCAGAGTTCCAAGCTCTAAACTCTAATCAGAGTTATTGCTTCAGGAGATTTGTGTCTAAAAAATTTTTTTTAATGTTTACTTATTTTGGGGAGAGAGAGAGAGAGAGAGAGAGAGCTGACAGCAGAGAGCCTGATGTAGGGCTCAAACTCACAAACTGAGAGATCATGACCTGAGCCGAAACCAAGAGTCAGACGCTTTACCAACTGAATGAACCATCTTCTCCCACCACCCCTCCCACACCCCCAGGAAATTTGTTTCTAATGAGTATTCAAGATATTTCTGATGCTGCAGGGCTACAGACCTAGCCCTTCCTTCACAAACGTCAACATCAGCCTTCTGGGTTGTAACAACTGTGTTTCACCTGGCAACCGTCTTCTCTTTCACCCTTTCCTCACTACCTTACAGAAAACTTATTTTCCCAGAAATCGTTCTCATTTTGAAGATATTCTCCCTTTAAACAACGGGAAGACATCATTATGTTTGGTGGGGAGGACAGCCTCCAAGCACAGATGTCCTTCCTCTATTGTTCCGGATAAAAGATGGAGCTGCAAAGCCAACTCTAGGTGCCAGTGCATTGCATCCTGCTTCCTCACTTGTTAATGACCAATCTCTTTGAAACGCTCACACACAGTAGATTGGAGTTGTGAATGGAAATCCTAGGAAACAGTGATCACTGGTTTGGGGGCATTTATACCAGCATAAAGCAGCCCATTGTGGGAATCTGCCATTTCCATCAGGTACGTGTTAGCTCTAATTGAGAAGCCTTCTGCTATTACCCCAGTTGGATATGGTCCTTTATTCCTCAGGGCTTTATTTATTTATTTTTGGCACTTCCTCTTATCTATTATACTTAATTCTTTCTTGAAATATATTCTGCTGGAAGATAGAATCTGAGCTCTGAAAGGGACCTTACCTTGTCTCTGAAAATACAGAGCAAGATCAAGTCAGGAATGTGAGCTAGAAACCACGGGTCCTGCCTGCCTGCCTCCGGCCAAATTATAACTAACTTTTTGTAGAGCACTTCATGCATTCAAAATGCATTTTTTTTTTTTTACATATTATATTATTTAATTCTCATACTTCTCCTGTGAGTTAGTTATTCATAAATATTTCACAGGTAGAAAAATAGGGCGCAGAAGTCAAATGACTGGCCAAAGATCACAGAGCAAACAGAGGGGAAATAAAAAAAAAAATCAAAAGCAGGCCTTCAACCGTTAAATTCTGTGATGTTCCTGTATCTTGTAAATGTACAGTGTCACCCCCTACAGCCTGTGTCAGTCCCCTGGAAACCAAAGGTTTTATTCATCTTTACACCCGCACCCCCAATGGCTCTTTCATCTGGCGTAAGGGGAGTTGAATGTGTTTATTATTCGGTTGAACAGAATTTGTTTTTTGGGTGTCTGTTGAGTATTTATTTGTTTTCCTTAACAAAACATGTGTATTTCACTTTCCAAGCTGGCCTTCAAAGTTCCGAAGTAAGCAAATGACAGAAAAGCAAAGCAAACAAAACAACAAAAACGAACCAGCATTTCCTCCAAAAAAGAACGCAATGCCATTTAAGCTTCAGTTACACTTCTCGCTGCCCTGGGAGCAGCCACGCCAGGGCCCGAGGCCTCTGGCCGATCCAGGGCCCATTTTGAGTTCCCCGCATTGTTCCTGGCACCGCGGCTCCTGTGTAGCAAGCAGGATATTCGACTTGACAAGGCTCTTTCTTTCTGGATCAGGGAGGGAGCAAGGTTCTTGTCAGTTTGAATCACGAGTCCACACTTGGCGGAGCCGACTGGACAGGCCCAGTGGGGGAAGGGGCCATGTGCGCGCCATCCGTGCGCGCGTCACGTGGGCCTCTCTCCCCATCTCGCAAATAACTCCACTGGCTTCAAGCTACCCTGCTCCGAGAGGGCCTGTTTACCATGTGGCCAGCTGATCCGCTTCTGACGCTGAATCTCCTCGTTATCCAGCAGCTAAAATTTTACTTTCAGGCTTCATCCTTCTACCGCGATTTTTCTCACAGCGGCAGCTGAGAATATCCAGTTATGCAATTCTCAGGGTTTTACTGTTTTAAAACGCATTTCTAAGGATTATATATATATATATATATATGCTTTTTTTGGAGTCCATGTCAAAAGGCTTTCAGAAGTCATAAAAAAAAAAAAATCCCCCAACTGAAAACTTAGTATATGTTGTTCTAAAAAATGTTTTGTCTTTATTATTATTTTTTGAAAAAACGGAGTTTTAGAAGAATAACATAGAATTAATGAAAGGTACAGTCTGGGAATTTTGATTGGGTAACGAAGAAAACAAAAGTGTTCACGTTACTTTATCTCTTTATCCCTAAAAGTTGGCACTTCAGTTGTGTTTCTTGGAAGAGGAAAGAAGAAAGTTTGATTGGTTGCGAATTCTCACACGTGTCTGAAAAATAAGTAATCTGGTCCCATGTTTCTTTACATGGACCTTGAGAACACTATTTTTGATTATCATATGAATGTGAAATTCTATCCTTTGCCGGGTTTTTTTGTTTCCTAATAGCGAAATGGCAAGAAAGCCTTTTTTCTGAGCCCATGCAAACCACTCTTTAGAATGTTTTTATGGCAACAGAACCGGTCACTAGCTATTTGTGACTTAATTACAGAATTTTGTGATGCTGATTATCCAACCAACTTGCTAAATATGTCAACAAACCAGGTGATTAAGGGAAGGAAAAAGGAAAATGGTTGATAATGTTAAATTCAGTCAAAACAATTGTCCTGTGCTTTTTTGCATCCTTTTCAAGGTTTTCTGCTGAAACTAAAACTCAAATAATAAAATCACACTTTGTGTAACAAACATGATTTTTTTTTTGTCTAGTTTCCTGATCCTCAACGAAAATTTACCACACTTTTACAGGTATATCTGAAGCTGAACTTGCATTAAATTTTTTTCAACAGGTGATAATTATAAAAACATTGCTCTTTGGGACTTTTGGCCATGCTCTTTTTCACTTTTTCATTCCCTTGTTTTAGTTACGTTTGGCTTGTCCCCTTTGCCAGAAACTTATAGGGACAATATACTATTATTATTCTATTACCAACTTAGCTACACTTTGGGTGTAGCTTTTTCTCATTGGGGTACCTTATGGGATTTCTCTGATGCACTAAATCATTACTGCCATAATTCACTGATAATTAGTTTTTGAGTATTTACTAACCTGGATGGTACCCAACAGGGCGCTGTGATACTGCTTCATTGTTTAGTTATCATTATAGTTCCAGCCCTAAAAGATTTTGTAGTCTAAAACCACTAATAGAACAGTCTAAACCCGTTAATATAGAGGTTAGTGATTACTCATAAAATTGAGAAAAGAACTAAACAGATACGAATATGTAACTCATCACATAAATTTGGAGCTACATAGCATTTAGGATCAAGGTCAGTTGAGAACTGAGCCAATAGATAAAATCCAGTCCAGTCAAGCAGAGATTAAAGTGCAAAGCAAAACAATGTACAGAGCAGAATTTTTCCCCCATGGGGGTCTTCAGGATAGTGAGAATGTCTCCTGTTGTAAACAGATGTTCAGAGAAGTTGTTATGAAATTATTCAGAGTTGAGAAAGTGTCTGTGCCCAGTAGATGGAGGAGGCTTTCATATTAATCCTGAAAAACAAGCATTGCTTAAAACCTCTGTTGCTCACTAACCTTGGGGTATGTAACTTGAGGATTAGAGTCTCACTCTCTGAGTTTTTGAGAGGAGATCGAGAAAGGGTACTTACTTTGCTACCGCTTGATACTACTGGAAATACTTTGGGTGACAGGAACCACCAACTTCCTAGGATGTTAGAGAAGCCCCTGAATGAGAGCAGTATAGCCCAGCATTGGGTAGGGGAGTCAGTGATAGGGGAATGAGAGGAAGTCACAATTAGGAAAATCTCATTCTCCGATCCAGTTCATAGATTTCCCAAGTGCAAGTTGATGCAACACAAAAGTGAACGAAAATTTGTTTTGACTTGTCGTTTTGCTGTGTTTGTTTAGTTATGATATATAGCTGTGTATTCCATTAAAAATGTAAAAAAAAATGTTAAAATAGTTCAGAGATGATCAGATGAACTATCTGCAGGAGAGACAATAAAGAGCATTCTAAAATGGAATATAAAATCATCTGTAAAAAGCTAGACTTTGAAACAACTGAGTACACTCACATGTGTTATGAGTTAGTGGTCTTGTGATTTTCAAATTATGCCACTGTACATAATAGAGCGTTGTTTGATAGACCTCACTAAGTGGCCTGGCACTAAACCAGATCTGTCATCTACAGGAGAAGAAGGCAATTCCAATTTCATCTAAATAAGCTCATATTAAAATAAGGAAAAACAAATGTGACACAGCTGCAGTAGTTTGGCCAAGTCAAAAATGCTTACAAATATTTTATGTCTGTAATATAAGACTGCTTACTAATGGGAGGATCTTATGTGTAAAGAGTGCCAGATTGCCTCTGATATAAGTTGGTAATAAAAACGCTATAGGGTTAGTATTTATGATCCCTGTAGGTTATAATAACATGCTTCCTGTGTTATTGCTTTAACAGACACTAAGAAAAAAAATCTATACAATGTGGTCACTTTCCTTAAATAGCATGTATGACATGTGCACAATCAGCTAGGACATTGAATCAACATTTTATCAGAACTTGTTACACATCTTGTAAGCCACAGTTTATATAAACATGTGCCTTTTCTTTCCTGAAGAGAACGTCATGCGTGCTCTGGATCATGCTATGTTCCACTGACATACAAACAGGGAAGCATGCCACATGAGTAAATGTCATGTTTTAGTCAATACCTACAGTGTTCTTTAGTAGAAGGGGAAAAAGAATGTAGCTAAGTTAAAGCAATATAATAAATGATGAAGTTCTGAGGTTTGTTAATAAAGACACCTTATTTACTATGCAAAGTCAAGGGATTTCCCCTGGGGAAAAGAAAATGTAACATAACTCTACTGATGTATTTGAAACAACAAAAAAAATAGTCTCCTAAAGGGAATGGTGCAATTCCTATCGCTTCAATCTGTTTGGCAACTACGAAATATGGGAATAACCTCAAGGAAAATAACCCAACCGTTCTCTAGATCATTAAGCAAAGGGGAGATTGTTGTGACATTTTGGTTTTGAAGTCAACAAAGGATTTAAGTGTGATTATTTAATGGATATTATGTTAGGAGACACGTATGTGGATGCTTGTAATGTAAATCCTGAAGTACGGAGATTACTCCTATCTCAGTTGAACACTGAGGTGTTCCTATAAGAGTGTCATCAACATTAAATTTGAATCCCCCCACCCTCAGACCAATCCCCGCCAACTCATTTACCTCTCGACTTTTAACTGGGGATATTTCTGGAGGATGAATCCCACAGAGTGGCTCTACTGAAGGTGATGTCAGGTTTTATTGCAAGCCTGGAAAGACACTTTTAGGCAGGCATGGTGATATGGCACCCCTTCAACCACATATAGGCTGACTATTCCACCTCTATGCTGGGCTGGCCCATCTTGGGAAAATGTTCTGTAAGCATTTTTGATAGGAACAAATGGGACTTCTATCTACTCCATAGTTGGGGTGAGCAATTAAATAGAAAGTGATATAGTTTGGAGTCAGATATGCAAAAATTGAGATTGTGTGGTAGGCAGGATTCCAAGATGGCCTCAAAGAGTCCTGGCCTTTCACATGCATAATATAGTCCTTTCCCTATTAGTGTGGGTGGGACTTGTGAATATCATGGGGTATTAATCCCATGATTCTATTATATTAAATGACAAAAGTGAAGTAATTTTGCAGATGTGATTAGTTCTTAATTAGTTGATTTTGAATTAATCAAAAAAGGAATTATCCTGTGTGGGCTGAATTAATCAGGTGAGCCATTTCAAAAAGAGTCTAAAGGCAAGACACAAGGAGCAGCAACAGACTGTCTCCTGTTTGCCTTGAAGAAGCAAGTGCCAATGGTGTGGAAAGGGCCATGTGCCAGAGAAGGGAGCTTTAGTCCACACAGCTGCAAGAAACTGAATTCTTTTTTTTTTTAATTTTTTTGTTTTACATTTATTTATTTTTGAGAGACAGAGACAGAATGTGAGTAAGGGAGAGGCAGAGACAGAGAGAGACAGAATCCGAAGCAGGCTCCAGGCTCTGAGTTGTCAGCACAGAGCCTGACGCGGGGCTCGAACCCACGAGCTGTGAGATCATGACCTGAGCCGAAGTCAGACGCTTAACTGACTGAGCCACCCAGGGGCCCCAAGACACTGAATTCTGCCTACAACCAGTGAGCTTGGAAGAGGACTCTGAGATAACACGAGATTATACCTCCAGTCAATACCCTGATATAAATTTTGTGAGACCCTGAGCAAATTACCCAGCTAAACCGTGCTCAGACCCACAGAAATGGTAAAATAATGAATAGTGGATGTGTGTTGTTTTAAGCACCTAAGTTCGGGTACAGACTTCTTTGTTACACGGCCAATACCGATAGCCTACCATTCTCTTTGTCAATGTTTAGCTGCTCTTGCTCCCAGGAAAATTTTTACTGAATTGAAGTCCATATCCTTCAGTTCAGTGTGCTAAGGAGACAGAACTGTTGGAAAACCTCCTCCTTATAATAACGTAGTAACTTTTTTCTTCCACTCTAGTTTATACATCAAGAAATCTGGATTCCCTTAACTTTTATATGTAAAACACCTAACCTCCACATTCAAATAACATTCCTATAATACATATTTTCAGTTCTTAAGATGTTCCTTTCTGAATAACTTCAGTTTTCCCACATATCCTGTGTTGACTTAAATGGATTTAAGATCCCATAAGGAACTTGCCACCGAGAGTGGAATAGAGGTGTGTGTCCTTGCCCTTGTACCTCATGCATCCTTGCATGCTATATATAGGAAAATATCTCATTTGTTTGTCCTTTTGTCTATTTGTTGATTTGTTACAATTTGTAATGCCAGCTGGAAATTGTTGATTCAATTTCAGTTTGGGTGTGCATTCCAACTCACGTGTCTTCTCTTTGTCATTGAAACCATTGCAGATGTTTCCCAATTTTAACTCTGTAGTTTATTTCAGATCCAGTAGAACCAGGCAGGTATTGATAGCTTGTCATTGTTTTCTGTTTTGCTTCATTTTGTTTTAATTGTGGTAAAACAAAACAAAACAAAACAATCTTAACTCTTCTAAGAGTACAGTTCACTGGTGTCAGGTGTATTCACATTGTTGTGCAACCAATCTCTGGAACTTTGTCATTTTGCACAATTGCAATGCTACACCCATTAGACAACTCCCCATTTCCCTGTCCTCCCAGGCCCTAGCAACCACCATTCATTTCTATGTTTATATGAAGTTGAATATTCTGAATACTTCATATAAATGGAGTCATATAGTATTTATCATTGTCTTTTTGTGCCTAGCTTATTTTGCTTAGCATAATGTCCTCAAGTGTTATCCATTTATTGCTCAGAGTTCTATATTAGAGTTCTCCAGAGAAACAGAATCAATAGGAGATTATGCATATATATGTATATGCATATGTATATACACATACACACACATAGAGAGAGAGATAGATAGAGAGATAGAGATGATATAGAGATAGAGATAGAGATGAGATAGTGATAGAGATAGAGGTTTTAAGGGATTATCTCATACAGTTATAGAGTCTGGGAAGTCCAAAATCCACAGGAATGGCAAGCTAAAAGCCCCAGGGAAAAGTCAATGCTGTGGTTTACATCCAAAGGTTGTCAGGCTAAAGACCCTTCAAAAGAGCTGTTGTAGTTCATGTCCAAACGTCCTCTGCTAGTATTTTCTTTTTTAAAGCTGA